CACACACACACACACACACACACACACACACACACACACACACACACAGCATTTTCTTGGCCTGTTTTAACTTTTCTTACTTTGCCCTTTTTATTGTATATGTTCCTACTGTCAGGCACCTCACATGCTCTGAGAAACGACAGGGCAGTTGTGATAAGCCGCTGTCTGGTCTGGTCTCCTGGGCCCATCCTGTCTCCTTCCAGTCTGATGATTAAAGCCCTTTGATAGATTCTGGTTGTGGAACACATTCAGTGCAGGCTCTCTTCATCCCAGCATTTAAAGACAGTTTGGTCCATCCTTCCTGTGTGGCCTCGTGCCCCACTTTTGTAATGTACCCTGTTTACGGTTCCACCACAGGGCCCGCTGTTTTTTGAGCCTGCCTAGGGCTGTCTTACTTATCCCTTTGCTCATTTTGGCTCTTCCATTAAGAATGGCCTCCCATTCCCACCTTCTGTTAAAAACTGCATCCCTCCAGGTTTATGGAGAAAGCTCTCAGCTATCTGTCTGGCTGAAGCACAGCCTTCACTTCTCTTAAATTAACAGAGACCTGAGTGCAGGGCATTGCCAGGGGTCCAGTCCCTCCATGTAGTTTGTCCTTTCTTATGAATTAGATGTGGTTGACCCTTCCTTTGAACCATCTGTGGGATCTTGTCTCTTTTATGACACTTAACATAGAGTGTCCTGTAGCATCACTGCCTGTTTGTAGTGCCTCACCTCACTCATCAGATTGTAAGCTTCTTGGGGGCAGGAATCAGTCTTAGTAGTATTTGTGTCGCTCATAGTGTCTCTGGCCCAGAGTCTTGTGTATTGTGGATGATAAATAGCCCATAAACTGGAGATTACATTTTAGAACCAACATTGTTCAAAATGAAAACTCTAACAGTTGAAAGTGTTTCTTTAGTTCATCCCTTTTGTCTGCTCAGGTGACCCTGAGATCCGTTAGTGTTAACCTTTGTGTTTTCCCTCAACTTGTTCAGGTGTCTTTAGCACGTCTGCTGGGAGTCACTTGGGTCAGAATTCAAGTACCCTTAATGGTGGAGATGTCATCAACCTCAGGCCCAACAGACAGAGGACCAAGAAAAACCGAAATCCTTTTAGCAGCTGTAGCATACCCTAAAATGCTTCAGGGAGGAAGAAATGAATTGTATTGTGCAGTAAGATACATCCAGCTGTCACGGTATGTTAACACAATTTTTTCACAGACTTTGCACCTAATGGCTCTCTGAAAGCTGACAGACTTAAACAGATAGCACTGCTCTGCAGTGCTTTTCAGAATGGAGCAAGATCTCTGGTGGAGAAATTACTGCCCTCTGGACTTATTTTAATTTTTTTACATTAGACGAAGCTTCTCCTGTTTTTGAAGGAATGCTATAAGAAACATCAAAAACAGGTTTTGCTGAATTTGAAATGCTGGAAAACATAAATGAAATGCCTAAATATACTGGTACAGATTTTAATATTATGGGTCAAGGAAAGATAGCAACCATCTAGCTTTTCTAGGAAGTAGTATTGAATCTGAATACTGAAAAGAATAATATTGAAAGGCGAACCCTAATCTTGCCAGACTGCATTAGTGTGTACTTTGGCAATGTTACTTGTGCAATATCTGTAGATGTGGAATGTGGAGGTACTTGCACACGCAGATCCCTGGTTCTGGAGTAAACAAGGTGTGTGCAGTGTTTAAGGAAACATAGACTCTAACTCATTCATTCATGAAACCATTTACACATTTATGTGTATAAGTTTCTATTTTCAAATGAGAAATTCTAGACAGATATTTTGCAAAATGAGCTCAGATTTTAAAAGTGCTTTTGTGCCAAAAATACCATACCTAATTTTCAGTGCTTTACCAGAATTTATACTGTTGATAATCTCTTTTAAAAGCAGTTTTCCTCTCTGACAGAGTAGATGAAAGAGTG